AGCCAGATGCCAGAGCGCCCACCACACAGAGAGGACCCAAGCCAGCACAGGTGGACCCAGGACCAAGAGAAGACCCAGGTATTCAGAGAGCTCCTCCTGGGGGCACTGTCGCCGTGAGTGGCCTGGCCAGCACCTCACCCCTCTGCAGCCTGGCCCCCACGCACCTGCTGCCTGCACCTGGACTGGATGCAGCCATAGTTGGCCACCATCATGCAGGAAGAATGACTACAGTCAGGTCACCTGTCCCCGCCTAGGCAGCTCGCAGTCCTGGACAGAGGCCAGAACACCCTGCCCACCCATCTATCACTGGGTCACAGAGCCCCATTCCTCCAGGTGGCTTCACCAGTGTAGGCCAGAGGCTAGGCGAGGGTGCAGAATGGGAGGCCCCCGCCAGCCTCTTCTCAGCAGCACTATCCACGGACCTGGAACCAAGCCTGAGCTGTTACCACCAGGCAGATAACCCCACATTCCTCAGTGGGCCACCCCTCTCCAGTGCCGTGGCAGGAGGGCCCAGGGGTCCAGAAAGGCATGGACCCCACATAAGGTGGCAGGGAGGGGTGGGCAAGGGTCTGGAAGGAGTGGCAAGGGGTTTCTGAGGGCGCATCACAGCTGGGGGTTCATAGGGGATTCAGGAAGAGATGCAGGGAGGAAGAGGGCCAGGGCTGTGAACTGACTCAGAACCTGGGGCGGGGCTGTGCCCAGGGGACCCCAGACTCAGGGCATGGGGATGATGAAGTCATGCTGGGGATCCCATACTGTGAGAGTGAGGAGCCTGCCTAGAAAGAGGATGCAGGCATAAGCGAGGGGGACAGGAGGGTCAGGCATGTGAGAGGGCCAAACAGGACTTCCAACCTGGACATGGGAGGTGGAGAGAGACCAGAGGATTGGGTCCACCCATGCAGCTGGGGCATTGGGAGTGGGCTCCAGCCAGATGGCCTCCTCCACGATTCTTCTCTTCCCTGAACTCTCCTCCCCAGATGGCCCTGCTCCTGGGTCTCCCTCCTCCTGGGCCCTTCTCCTCCTTGGACCCTACCCTCTGGGTCCCTCTCTCCCCTGGGTCTCCCTCCTTCCTGGGTCCCCCTCCTCCCTAGACCCTCCTCCTTTGGTCCTCCTCTCCCCCCCCCGGTACCTCTTCTCCTCGGGTCCTCCTCCTCTCAATACTGCTCCACCACAGGTCCTCCCCGCCCGGTCCTTCTCCTCCCCAGGTCATCCTCCAGAGGTCCTCCTCCTCCTCAAGTCCTCCTCCCCCTGGGCCCTACTCCTCCCCAAGTCCTCCTCTTCTCCAGGTCCTTCTCCTCCTCCCTAGGTCCTCTTCTCAAGGTCCTGCTACCCAGGCCCAACTCCTCCCTGGTCCTCCTCCTCCCTGGACTCTCCTTCACACCCTCTTCCTCCTCTCCAGGTCTTCCTCTTCCCTGATCCTCCTCCTCCCCAGGCGCTCTCCTGCATTCTATCCCTCCTTTCCAGGCCTAACACCTCCTCCCTGGTCCTCCTCTCCAGGCCTTCCTTTGCATCTTCTCTCTCCTCCCCAGGTCCAACTCCTGCTCCCTGGTCCTCCTCCACTCCAGGCCCTTCCCCACATCCTCTCCCTTGTCCTCAGGTCCAATTCCTCCTCCCTGGTCGTCCTACCCACCAGCCCCTTCCTCCTCCCCAGGTCCTTCTCCTCCCTGGTCTTCCTACACCCCAGGCCTTCCCAAATATCTTCTCCTTCCTCCCCAGGTTCAACTCCTCCTCCCTGGTCCTCCTTCCCCCCAGCCCCTGCCCCACATCCTCTCCCTCCTCCATAGGTCCTTCTCTTCCTTCTCCTCAAGCCCTCCTCCCTGGTCTTCCTCCCTCCTGGGTCCTTCCCCACATTCTCTTCCTCCTCCCCAGGCCCAAATCCTCCTTGGTTCTCCTTGTCGGGCCTCCCCTGCATCCTCTTCTTCCTTCACAGATCCTCCTCCGCCCTCCCTGCCACCCTCCTCTACATCCTCTTTCTCTTCTCCAGGCCCAATTCCCCCTCCCTAGTCTTCCTCCCTCCTGAACCCTCCCCCACATCCTCTTCCTCCTCCCCAGGTTTTCCTCCTCCCTGGTCCCTCTTTCCCCAGACCCTCCCCACATCCTCTCTTTCCTCCCCAGGTCCAATTCCTCTTCCCTGGTCCTCTCACCCCAGGCCCTCTCCTGCATCCTCTCCCTCCTCCCTAGGCCCAACTCCTACTCCTTGGTCCTCCTCCTCCCCAGGCCTTCCCCTGCATCCTCTCCCTTCTTCCCTAGGTCTTCCTCCTCTTCCACAGATCCTCCTCCATGGTCCTCCTCTCCTTTGGGCTCTCGCCACATCCTCTTCTTCCTCCCTAGATCCAATTCCTTTTTCCTGGTCCTCCTCCTCCTCAGCACCCCTACATTCTCTTCCTCCTTCCCAGGTCCAACTCCTCCTTTCTGGTCCCCCCTCCCCAGGTTCTCCCTCACATCCTCTTCCTCTTCTCTAGGCCCAACTCCTCCTTTCTGGTTCTCTTGCTACCCAGGCCCTCCCTCGCCTCTTCGACCTCCTCCCCCAGCCCAGCTCCTCCTCCCAGGGTCCTCCTCCTGGGCCCTCTACTGCAACCCCTCCCTCTTCCCCAGGCTGAACTCCTTCCTGGTCCTCCTCCAAGGCCCACAGGAATCCCTATGCAGGCAGCAGAGTGAGAAGAGGCTATAATTTAAAATACATTTATTTAGTGTTCCATTTGTTTCCGCTTCTGTTATACAAAGCTGTTAAATAAATACATTCTCCACAGTCACTCAGGGACACACCTACGTACTACACAGATGAGGTAGAGAAATCAGTCGGCTCACACGGGACTCCCAACAGCAAGGCAGAGTCAGCTTCCATGTGGGCGGGTGGGAAGAGGCTGGCCACGCCCTCACCACACTTTTCCTTCCACTCTGCCACATGGAAGAGAAGCTCAGGAGAGAGGAGGCCCCGTGGCCAGGCAGCCTCTTCATGGAGCGAGACGGTCTAGATATATCGCAGAGAAACAGACCAGCCGGCAGACATTTTCAGTCTGCCTTGTTTAAAAAAATACTTTTCTGAATATTTATGACATAGAGCTAAATGTGGTACTCAATAAAAAAATACTCTTCCTCTGACTCGACGCCCTTCCACAGACCCAACAGTGACCGGGCGGCAGTCTTGTCACGAGAGCGTGGCCGGGGCTGCTGCTGCGGCCGGCGGGTGCAGACATTGGGGCAGCGGGGCAGCCCCTCAACCCCTCTAGCCAGACCTGCATCAGACTGAGGGACAAGCCCAGCATCCTCCTGCTGATGGCCTCTGCCTGCTGCCACCTGCACTCCTCTCGGGGACGGGGCCTCGGGCCCACGAACAGCCTTGGGACTGCCTTCTCCACATGCGTCACACGTGGGGTGTTCTTGGAACCACAGGAGAATAAACTTTGCTATGTACACTGTCAACCAGGGCACGCAGTCCCACCAAAACATAAATAGGTTCTCTTTAGAAACAAATCCCTCTCTCTCCCCGGCTTCCTAGAGACCCTTGGGGCTCCCAGGACCCTGCTTGCTCAGTAGTTCCTGCATCCACACCTGTGGCCTGCCCAGACCCTGGCCCATGCCCACCAGGGAATCCACCAGATTAAGCCTGGGCTGGGGGCTCCCAGAGCCCAAGGCTGCTATCATGCGGCCACCAGCACACACTCCAAGGAGGGGCATGGCCCTGCTGACCACTGACCATGCCAGCACATCATGCACACACACACAGTCACATGACACACACACACATCCACATACAACACACGCACGCTAACATGGCACACATGCATACTTGCACATCACACAGATGGACACATGTACTCACATGACATGAACACATGGGGCACACATGCATGCACAACATGCGTGCACACTCACATGGCATGCGTACACATGCACACATGTGACATACACAACACACATGCCTACGACACATACATGCACACACACATTAAAACCCAGCCAGGTCAGTGGTGGTCACCCTCTTCCTGGCAAGACAATAGCATGGCCAAAGGAACAACATTCCGTGGCCAGATCCACCTACATCTGTTCCCACCCGGCTCCCTCCAGGGACACAGGGCAGGTGCAGCTTCTTCACAACACAGACCCTTCAAAGCGTTAGCCCTGCCCCCTACCATGCCGCTCCCCAGCCCCAGCATCTGCATTGTGCCTCCAAAAGCCAGGTGTCTGCCCATAAGGCTGTGCCAGGGCCAGGGCGGAAGCTACTTCAGAAATTGAGGGCCGAGGCAGACTCACCACTCACACCACACCTGTGGTGCGCCCATCATTTAGTGGTTTCAATGACAAAGCAGGCAGAGGCCAACGGAGGCAAGAGGGACTGTGTTGGGATGGAGGAACCTCCCAGACAGGGGCTCGGGCAGGGGGTGGGAGCACAGCCCGGGAGGTGGAAGGGACGGAGAAAATAATAATTATTATATTAAATAATCATAATAATTTAAAAGTCACGGATATTCACTCCAAAGAGAAGTGCTCGACGTCAGAGAGGGAGGCAGTATCCCCTGAGCCTAGGCATTGTGGCGGCCGGGCCTGGGACACAGCAGCTGCATCCTCTCCTAGTGGTTTGACTCTCTGAAGACAGTGCTGGTGCTGGGGTGAGCCCATCCCCCACAGGTGGCCACAAAGGAGCCGGGGTGGGCCCATCCCCCACAGGTGGCCACAAAGGTGTGCCTGCCACTTGTGCCTAGACAAGGCAGGAGGGAAGGCCAATGTGGGGCCTCTCCTTGGGGACTGCTGTGTTAGGGACAGAGACAACTCAGAAAGCACGAGGGCAGTGCTCTCGGGTCAACGCTGGAGGCCAGGGAAGCCAGAGCTCAGGCAGCCAACCCGGAAGACCCAGGCCCTGCTCTGGCCACAGGCCCCAATGTGCTAGGAGGGCCCCTCAGCCCTGGCAAGTATAGACCCCTCACACTGTGTGCAACGCCTGCTCCCTGCACAACAGGGCTGGCTGGCTCGGGGCTCAGCCCTGACAGGTGAAGACCCCCACACTGTGTGCAATGCCTGCTCCCTGCACAACAGGGCTGGCCAGGCCTAGGGACTCAGCCCTTGCAGGTGTAGACCTCCTCACGCTGCGTGCATTGCCTGCACTCCACGTAGCAGCACCAGCGCACCTGGCACTGGCAGGGCCTCGTCACCACCCGGCTCTGTGTGTTGTGGCCACGGCCGCAGCAGATGCTCTCACAGTTCTTCTCGCGGTGGCACCTGCGGCCGGCAGTGCCTGGGGAGAAGCGGCCGGCCAGACAGAAGCTGGGTGAGTCATCCAGGTGCACAAGCTCTGGGGTGCGGGGCAGGGGGTCCCCGCCAGCTCCTGAGGCCCGGCCCCGCGGTGGTGAGATGGCACCTGTCTCACCGGTGGCCTCGTTGGTGGTACTGCCCACCTTGAGCGCCGTCTCATACTTGAGCTTCAGGTGCCGGCCTGCCTCGTGGAAGGGTGCCAGTTGCCGCCAGCATGTCCGCACTGTGCATGAGCCTGACACGCCGTGGCACTTGCAGGTGGTTTCCACGCCAGCCTTGATCACCTGGTGGGATGGGGACACATGAGGCCTCACAGGCAGGCCCAGAGCCAGTCTCAAGACAACCCTGAAGAGGCCGGGACCCTGGTCATCCTGGGCCCGATCCCACGGCCCCTACTCAGACCAAGCTCAGCTGACAGCATCCCATCTACTCACAACTGCCCCCAGAATCCCAGCTCATGGGCCCAGCCCTCCTCCGCCAAGCCCCAGACTGCCTAGGGCAGACCACACAGCCAATACTGCTACTCTACTCCTCCATATGGGAGGCTGTCCTTGCCCCTTTGAGAGGCTTCCTCCCCTACCAGATGCCCATACCCGTGTGAGGGGATACTCCTGTAAGGCCCTGACAGCAATCCCCACCCTGTCAGAACTTCACACATCTGGTCTCAGACATGCTAGCTGGACAGTGAGAAAAAGCATGACCTCACCCAGCACTGTACATTGAAACTGGCCATGTCCCCCCATATGTCGGGGACCAGGTGCTATCGCACATGCAGGTACAGCCACAACCTCATGGTCCTGTGGTCAGACTGTGGGTTGTTGGGCATGGACATGGCAGAGGATGGAGGCCTAACTCCTGGTAACAGTAACTTCCTTTTTCAAGCTTTTACTTTTTAGAGACAAGGTTTCACTCTGTTACTCAGGCTGGAATGCAGTGGCATGATCACAGCTCACCGAAGCCTCTACCTCCTGGGCTCAGGCGATCCTCCCACACCAACCTTATAAGTAACTGGGACTACAGGCACATACCACCACACCCAGCTAGTATTTTAAAATTTTTGTAGAGATGAGATCTGTGTTGTCCAGGCTGGTCTCTAACTCTTGGCCTCAAGTCATCCTCCCCTTGAGCTTCCCAAAGTGGCAGGACTACAGGCATAAGCCATGTGCCCGACTGCGAGTAACTTTTAACTACATTCCAAGTGGCTTCTATGACTGGTACCAGAGCAGGCTGCGCTGTCCCCCACAACAGGGAGTAGATGTGGCCGGGTACCAAAATCCTGGGTCTGGGTAGCTGCCATAGTACGCTGGCTGGGTCCTTCCCTCCCAGGACTTGGGGCCCCACCTGCAAGGATGGGCTGGTGGGTAAGGGGGGAGGTCCTTTCCTGGTGGGATCTGAGCCAGGCTGCTGGGCTCCCACACCAGCACCCCAGGAGGGCTGACTAAAGGATTAAGAAACGCAGCCACCCTCTGGCCAGGCAACCCAAGAGTCACATTTAATGATGCTTTGCTGAGAAACCTGGACAAATTTAATTAAAACACCACTGACCCAGGCTCCATAGAGCTAACAGAGTACTTTCCACATTCTGACTTTTCATGAATAGCTCACAAAGGGGCCAAGTGGGAGGAGGCAGCACAAGGGAGAAGAAAGAGCCTCGCCTCAGGGATTTAATCTGCCCTTACCGGCCAGCTCCTGCCCGCCAGCCCCTCCTGAGAAGGTGGAGGAGGCACAAGAGCCCTGGGCTAAAGAAGGGAAATTGATTCTTTAATAAGTGGGCAATTCAGGACTCTGGCTCTCAATAAAGGGGTCTCACAGCAGGCCAGCTCTCATTACCTTGCCCCTCCCAAGCTGGGGCCAGAGCAGGGCGGGGGGAGCACTGCCCTTCATCTCCCAACAGATGCCAGCCAAAGGATGCAGGAAAGTCAGGTGTTGTCCCAAGAGGGGGTTATGGGCTCTAATGTTCCCTCCCAGCTGGGCACCAACAGGCTGCAGGCAGTATGAGGGCAGCCAGAGCCAGGGTTCTCCCATCCGCCATTCTGCTGTCAGGGGCCCCGGGAGGGTTAGTTAGGGAGCTGAGATCCCTCTTCCCTCCAGTCTTGTAAGTTGGGTTTCTATCCCTCAGAGCAGGCCTGGTCACAGACAGGGCCACCGAGGCAGAACCAGAATCTCCCAACATGGGTGAGTGGCTTCCGCACTCTCAATGCTTCCCCAGAACTCCATCACCATGCTCACTGCTGTGGCTGCTGTCGACCTAGGTCCCCAATGACAAGACTGCATGCTAGACTGGCAGGTGCAGCCCAGTCCGCCATCCTTCTGGCTAGACTGTCTAACCAAGGACACCCTTCAGGTGACCTTGAGTAGGGGAGCAGACACAGATGGGCCCAGACTCACCCGGCTCCTCCCTGGCCAGCAGCAGGTTAGCCTCGTGGACCCTGCTCTCCATGGGAGGTCAGGGGCAACCCTGCATGACCAACACCCCACTTGGGGTAGGGATCTGGGGTGTGGACTCCTCCTGCACCCGCCTGCCCCGCTGAGTGTCCACCATCCTGCTGGTTCCCAGCTCACCCCTGAGCCCTTTCCATCCCTTCACCCGTGTACCCATCGACTCCACCCACTTGCCTTCACGCCCACGAGGTTGTTGTGGAAGTCTACCCGGGCCCGCAGGTCCTTGCTGGACCGCCTTCCCAGGAACTCCTTGACAAACTTGCTGCTGTACTTGAGGTTGTCGCCGCAGCCGCCCCACTGCCAAGCCTCGCGGTTCTCCAGGTCCGGTGCCTCATCGCACGTGCAGCGCTCCATGCGCCCTGCGCTGCACGCCTTGGCCAGTGCGTGCGTCAGGCCGGCGGAGGAGATGGCATAGAGGAAGGCGGTCTCCTTGAAGCCTGGGTCAGAGGGGCGGGTCAGCGAGGCTGAACTATCCACGGGTAAGGAAGCTCCCAATCCACGGGTAAGGAAGCCCCCTCCCTGAGTCATGGGAGAGGAGCTGGGAGGAGTATGGGGCGCCTGGAGGGAGGAAGTTCTCGGATGTGCTGGGAGAGAGTTCACAGACCACCGTGGCCGCGGCTCTGGCCCAATGATCAGGGGCCCCCATCCGGGTCTCCAACCTGCTAGCCTCGCCATGGGGTCCCTGCGACCCCTGCCCTGCCCCGGGCCTCAGGCTCTGGAGGGCCTTCCACCCAACTCTTTCAGGAGGAAGGAAAGAGGAGGGTGTGTGCTCTCTGGTCAGAGGCGCAAGGCCCCTGTTCACCAGGCACCAGTCAAGAATCATCAGGGTGGCCTCGGGCCCAGAGCGCCTGTGCGTAAAGGAAGGCGTGGCTGGGGAGGGCGGAGCCATAGGACAGGCAGGAGGATGGGGCCGAAAGGGGCAGGACTTAAGAGGGCGGGGCTGGAGGGGGGTGGGGCCACAGGACCGGAAGCCGGGGCTGGAGAGTAAAAAGGGGGGGGGGTGAACAGACTGCAGAAAAGGGGATGGGGGCCAGGGGGCGGGGCTAGGTAGGTGGAAGGCGTGGGCGGTTCAAAAGAGGGCGGGGTTGGAGAGAGGGGTGGGACCACAGGGCAGGAGTACAGGGCGGGGAAAGCCGGGTATCCGCCCCAGCGTGCTGCGCGGCGTGGGGCGTGGTGAGGGCCCCTGACCCGTACTCACCGCGCTTGAGCAGGCTAGCACGGTAGCGGCCGTCCAGCGAGCAGTTCCAGCGCTCGAAGCGGAACTGGAACTGGCACTCGAGCGCACTCATGCTGACGGCCTCCAGCAGCGTCTCGGCCACGCCTGGGTCCCGGCGGCACATGCGCCGCTGCTTCCGCTCCAGCTTCAGCCGGTCGCAGGCCTTGAAGTGAGCCTGGGCTGCCACCTCGGGCTCAGGGCTCAGCGGGAGGATGGTCAGAGGCTCGCTGCCCGTCAGCCTGGACAGAGGGCGGGCGTCAGCCCAGTGCCCCGCTGGTTGGAGAGGCCCCCAGGGGCAGGTGCCATGCGGGCCGTCGTAGGCGGGAAGGGCCAGAAAGCACCCAGCCAGGGACACGCGCAGGGCCCGCCGGACCCACGTCCCCAGCTACCCGCACCCTACCTGGCCCCATGCCCCTGCCCTCACCCCCAGCATGGTCTCAAGCGCCTCACGGCTGTAGTTGCTACCAATCCAGCCCGAACAGCTTCAGGGAGTCAAGCTGACGCCGGCTCCCCAGGACTGACAAAGACCCCTCCCAACCCCCCGCCCAAGGGAACAGTCCAGCCTAGGGCAAGAATGAAGTGTTGGAGCAGGGCTCCCAAGGCCACGCCTGATGGGCATCCTTAGCTCCAGCTTCTTAGTTCCCATCTTGGGAAACCCACCCTCTGCTGTCACTAGCTGGGGGTGGCTTTCGGTCCTGTGGCCCCTAGAGGAGGAGCCTGGCCCACCCCATCTCTCACACTCCTGCAGCCTGTGCAGATGTCCAGGGTCTCCCCACCTCAGGACCTGGGTGTGGACCAGGAAGCCAGCTGCTCCACCCATCTCTCCCTCTCCCTCTCAGAGCCTGGATGTCCTTGTTTGCAAGACAGGCCCCAGCCAGCCTATCCCCGTGGGCTACCACCAGGGTGCGCTGATCCAATTCCCACGGCTCTCAATCTCCACACAAGGCCCAAAGGCTGGCCCCAGCACTGAGGACAGCGCCCCAACCTCAGCTACTACACACCCTTCCACCTCCACCCCCACAAGGGCCTGCTGCCCCCAGCTGACCACCTCTGCACCACGGACCCCACTGCCTCCTTCTGCTGGGCTCAGGCCTGCCCTGACCCCCAACTCCCCTGGCTTCCTGGGTCTCCCTGGACACCGCCTCTAGGCCCCTGCCCCAGGCACACACCTATTCTGGGAACAGGCCTTTCACGGAACAACCCTGGCATCCCTCACCTGGTCCGACCACACTGAGCCTGCTAGCCTGCAGTGCTGAACTCTGACCCCAGTCTGTGGGGTCAGCTCCCCATACCATCTGTCCATCCTGGGACTGACTGCCTGAGTTTGGCCAGCTGTGTCAGGCCTACCAGCCTCAGTGTTCCCAGATGGGTGAACAGCACACAGCTGGGCACAGTCACCTCACAGCCCTTGGGAGGTAGGGGCACCCACCTGGACATGGGCAGGACTCATGTCCCCTCTCCCCCCTACCAAAGACTCTCGGGACCCTCGAAAGGGGCTGAGCAGAGGGAAGGGTGCCCAGGAGCATCAGGGAGGCTTTGTGGAAGTCCAGGCTCAGATGACTCCTGCCCAAGGGCAAAGACCAAGGGTCCCTGGACAGCTGCCCACACAGAGTCCAGGGGGTGGGGCCGGGAGTGGGCCCAGAAGAGTCACCCTTCCCATATAGGCAGCTTACACCACAGAGACCTCATCCCCAGACAGGTTTATCATAGCACCAGATGCATGCCCTTCCACCAGCCTATCCAATGGGCACTGTGGGGGTCAGGGCCCACTGAACCCAGTTTCCCCACGGAGCACAATCAGAGCACTGGATTAATGGAGACAAGTCCCCTCCTGCCTCTCGGGAGTTCCAGGGTCATGCAGAATGCCATGCAGACTGCCGAGCCATGAGCTTGTACTCCTGGGGGTAGGAGCCTGTGTGGAGGCTGCCCTGCCCTCTGGCCCTAGGATGCCCTGGTAATTCCAAGACAGCTCCCTAAACACAGCCTCAGGGGACTGATCCCATCCCAAGGTCAAAGCAGTCTTCACTGGCAGAAGGGTGTGGAGGAGGGTGGTCCCCAGCCTCAGAGTAGCTGGGGCCTGAGGCTTGAGGCCTGAGGCTAGGCCCTTCCCCTGAGCAGTCACTGAATTATTTTCAGCTTCAGCCATGGCTTCTCCAAGCCCTGCCCCCCACTCTCCCTGTTCTGGCTGTTCCCTGCTCTAGCCCCCCCACAATTCTCAGGGTGGGCTCAGCATGCAGCCAGACTTGCAGGCTCCCGGCCTTAGGGGTGCAGGCGTGAAAATACATAGGCAGATACACAGGGCATGTGGGGAACAAAGTGGGCAGCAGGGGGCATGGGCTCCACGGAGGGGGCCCAGACCCTCCAGACGAAGGCCAGGGCTCCAAAACAGAATACTGAACACTGGCAGGAAAGATGAGAGGGTCATAAAATCTCTTCAGAACAAGAAAAGCTGCTTCTTGAGGCTTAGAACCTGGAAGATTCTAAAAAGTCAATAAGCTGGACGATGTCACAGCACAAAAAGCTCTGCAGCAGAGTCAGAAGACCAGTAGGCCAATGACATGTGGGGACATTTGCAGCTCATGCCCTGGACCAGACTCTGCAGGGCGTGTGTATATGGATACGCATCATTTCCTATATATCAGTAACAAAGGGTGATGAAGAACAGGTCAAGGGTCAAGAGAAGGGAACACACCTGCTATGGAAACCAGGGTCAATGCTCAGCCCCATGCAAAGAAACGCTCAGTAAAACCACAGCATCATGGTGCATCTGGAGTCCTGGCTACTCGAGTTGACGAGGTGGGAGGACACCCTGTGGATACACTGTGTTTCCTTTATCAGATGAATACATACAGAATGTCTGATAGGATTACTGTCAAGCGCATGGAGGAGAGCTGCCTGTTAGCAGCTGGAGTTCTGGACTATCTGTAAAAGTGTGAAATCTACCCACTGTCATGGTCTCAGTGTGTGTGTGTCCCCCCAGAATTCATATGTTCAAACCTAACACCCAAGGTTGGGGTGTTAGGAGGCAGGGCCTGTGGGAGGTGATGTCTCATGAGTGGGAGGCAGGTCCTTATAAAGGGACCCTAACAGCCCCCTCACTTCTCCCCCACATGAGGACACAGGAAGCTGACCTCTGCAGACATGGAACCTGCCACACCTGGGATTGGCCTTGCAGCCTCCAGAGCTAAAAACAGGAGGCTCTGTGGCTGACAAGCCACGGGCGAATGGTGCAGGTGGGGGAGCCCAGCACAGATGCCTGTGCGTAACAGGACAGTGGAGAGACCCAGCAGCAGAGGCTCGTTCTTCCTAGCCAGCTGGGAGCTGTCCCAGTGCATGCAAGGATGACTGGAAGTGACAGTGCTCACTCTACAAACAGCACAGCAGGGGGAATAGGCTATCCCCTGGCATGGCAGGGCATAGGCCCTCCACCCTGCATGGGTACCCGCTGCTGGGCTCAAGCAGCTGCCACCTTGGCCCTGGGCGGGTGCCTGGCCCAAGACAGGGCTAGTGGACAGGGCATGGCCCAAAGTTGGGCCCACACTCCTGAGGCAGAGGTGGAAGTTACCCTCTGGGGAACCAAAGTTTATAACTTTTTTTTTTTGCTGGGTATTGCTATGTTGTCCATGCTGGACTGGAACTCCTGGCCTCAAGCAATCCTCTAGCCTCAGCCTCCCAATGTGCTGGGAGTGCAGATGTGAGCCACTGCACCCAAGGTTTATAACTTTATAGAACTCCCATGTCTGGCCTTCTCCTCCATTTGCCCATTTCTGTCTTATTGTAGACAGCCATACCATTCCCATGTCCTAAGTAACTCCCCAAAATGCCCCCGTCCTGCTGTGCATAGGCAGCTGGCTCTCCTCCAGCCAGTGCCAACATGTGCCTCCATATCAGGTGTCAGGTGGAGTCCTGCCTTCCTGAGGAGCACCCAAGAGTCCCAGCATGATCCACCAGAGGCCCCCCACAACCCTGCAAAGCCCCTGATGTCATGGCTGCCTCTGGCTCATTCCTGGCTCTGCTCTGGGCCAACAGCATCTGTCATTTTACCAGAACTTCTTCATCAGGAGTGCCTTCCCACAGGTTCTAGATCACACCTGAGGTTTCCTAGGCCATGCACTAAGGACCTGTGGTGTCTGTAGTACAGAGTCCTCGGCCAGGAATCGTGGATTTGAAGCTCCTTCCCCCTTGATCAGGAGCCCTCCAGGGCCCCCACCCAGATTCAGTCCTCATTCCAGTTAGAATCGCATCCCAAATAGGATATCTTTATAATGCTCACTTTCTGTTCAGCACAACCAAATTTTGCCCTTAGTGTCTACCACCTTGCCACGTCTGCAGTACTAAACAGCCTTCAGCTATTCTGCTACATGACAATCATCTGTGAGGAGTTCAGCTCATTTCTCTAAACTGAGAGTAACTGTGTGCTTCTCTGCAATGCAGTGTTTGACATATGTACATGTCATGGAATGACTAACCAAGTTGATCTACACACTCCTCACCACACCTGCTTATTTTTTTGTGCAATAAATCTCAAAACGTATTCTTCTTGTCTAGCTCAAATGAGCTCTGTGGCCAGTGTTGCCTATGCTCCCAAACCCCTACCTGGTATCCACCACTGTACACCCTGCCTCTGTGAGTCTGTATTTCTGATCCCCACATACGAGTGAGATGATGGGGGCTTGTTCTTCCATGGAAATAAGCTTGTACCTGGCTTATTTCCTTCAGCACAGTGAACTCCATGGCTGTTATGTTGCTGAAATGGAAGATTTCCTTCTTCTTTATGGCTGAATAGCAGCCATCGTGTATATAAGGGTGGATAATTCCTAATCTGAAAATCCAAAATTGGAAATGCTTTGAAATCTGAGGCTTTTTAGTGCTGACCAGTGCTCAAGGACATGCTCGTTAGAGCATTTCGGAATCCAGACGTGTAGATCTTGGGTGTTCAACCAGTGAGTGTAGCAAACACTCCAAAGTCTAAGAAAACCCCAAACCAGAAATACTTCTGGGCCAAGCATCTCGGATGAGGGACACCTACCCCATGTACGGGCACAATGTCTCTTGGACACATTGATTTCCTTTCCTGGGCTTCCTTTCCTTTCCCGGGAATGCTGGATCACATGGTAGTCCTGTCTTAACTTTCTCAGCTGTCTCCATTGAGTTTCCTTATGGTTCTACTGACTTACACACCCGCCAACAGTGCCTAGGTTCCCTCTCTCCATGCCCTCCCTTCCTGATTCCTATTCCC